CATTCATACCCCTAAGACTCCCCCACTTTCCCAAAAATCCTTGGCACACCCCTTTTCGCACTTCCAGGCCCACATCCCACTCCGATCAGGAAGTCGCGCTGGGCGTGAGGTTGGGCTTCATACTTTCAATGCGATGTACAAGGCATATGCCGCATATCGTTCCCTGTCATATTTCTCGGCACTTACATCTCTGAAGCCACTCCCTTGCTCAGATATTCAACAGATATCAACCCATCTTTATCTTTCTGTTGCAATACAACTCCCATCCCAAAATCACTAGCATCAGTAGTCACATAGAAAGGAAGGGTTGGGTCCTTAACTTTCAAGACAGGATAGTTGACGAGTTTGTTATTCAACTGCTTGAATGCTTGTTCATTCCCAAGGAGCATCCTTCATAGACCACCAGCACTTCCTAAAGTCGTGCCCATAAACAAGCCGCGACTTTAGGAAATGTACGGGCCACTACGGAAGTGCCCAGATCCATCTGACTAGAAATGTTTCAACTCTACTTTTTTTCTGTGACCGATAGCAGGGACAAGTACTGGTGGTTTAAGCAACTTTTCTCATAGGGGCGGCTATCATAGAGAAGTGAACCATAAACCTCTTATAGTAGTCAGCTAGCCCTAAGAAGGAGCTGGGCTCAGTTAAGCACTTTGGCCTTGGCCAATCCTGAATTGCTGCAATCTTTTGGGGTTCGTTCAGGACGCAATCCATCTGCACTTGAAAGGTGCACTGGGCTAAGTACAACACTTTGTTCTTGGGTCATTCACACTTCTTGGGGYTAATTTTAAGTTTAGAAACGGATGCGACAGGTTTTRAGTTCGCAAAGGCAAAAAAAACACAYCCGGCAGAGACATCACGCGCCGACTTCAAAACGAMAATTTGGGTCGAAWAGTATCTGTTGGGCTTTTTCTTTTTTTTCTTTCCCCACGTGACACCACGGTCGACTCCTGTAAAATATGACACCTGGCCTAACACCCTGGGCGCGACACTTTCGCTGCCCTTTTCSAACTTGCGCCTGGTTTCTTTGCCGACGTATGTTTGTTTTGTTCCCTAGCTCTGATGTGACATGAACGTGCTTCCCTCTTAAGTTTATTATCCTCAATAAGGATGGCATCCAGGTACACCACCACAAACACATCCAACCACTCTCTAAATAACTCATTCCATTCTTAGCAGGGTACTCCTAATATTCCTAAACCAAAGTTAGGGTCGAGGCACAGAATATGGGTCCACTCCGCAATCCAAGTTTCGGAGGGTGCTCCTAAGCGGGAAGTTAGCATATGGGCACTAATCTCGGGCCTCCAATGCCAAGGTTGGCATCAAGGCACTRAAATCAGGGTTCAATGGTAACATATATTTCTTTTCGAGGGTGAAGTGCAACAACTGGGCCAATATACTCCCCGTTTGGACATTTCACAGTTTCGTGCATCCTTTACCTTCTTTAAAGTAATATCSGTCTTCGCATGACGCTCCCACGAGGCCGGAGCGCCAGTGTTGGGAAAACCGAGATTCCCCGTTGGGCCCACGACGCCGTGTTCCCCCAATAGCTCGGCGCGTTTTCGAGCCCGTGGCTGCACGTTTGAACACAACTACATAGCAGCGGCCTGCTCCATAACTCACCAAATGTGGAAAATGAGAGTGAATCTCCTGCTAGGAACCGTCGCGCGGGAGTCTTGGGGCACGTCGGTTCGAAGAAGAAACAAGCAGTGGCCCGGGGCGCGTCGGTGTGACGCCCAACCTCACGCCCAACACGACTTCCTGATCGGAGTGGGATGGGGGCCCAGAAGTGCGAAAGAGGGGTGTGCCAAGGATTTTAGGGAATTGTAGTGGAGTCCCAGGCCGAAACTGAGATCTCCGGTGGCCAGTTCAGGGGTAATTGAGCAAGATGGTGGTCCCGAGTTGCATCAGTAGCTTAGGCTTCAGGACACAAAGCTATCATTGGTGTGAGTATTGGTGTCGTGGTCGGTCTCGGATCTGATGGACCCTCGGGACACTATGAGTGTCGCGCTGGCTGATCAATCGTTGGTGTCGCTCGTGGCAGACTTCGGAATCGGATGAGGCTGGTCTCAGTCAGAGGTTGTGCGACCGCTGCTCTGCCTCAGTCCGGGTCCGGCGGACGAATCCCGTGGTGCGGTAAGTGTGGTCTTGCTGGCACTCCGAGCACAGGGTCCACAGCCAATAGGGGTCGATCGCGCACCAGGGGACCGCTGYTAGACAGTGAAAGGGGATTACAAGGCGGTGGGGAGGGTAATTGGTCTCGATGATGACGATTCCAGGCTCGRCGATGACGTGGCGTGTGTGCGGGTAGGGAAATCAGGGCGGAAAGGGAATCGCGTTTAAGGCCCGTTCAATATRATCCCATTCGCATATGCGCTCTGTTCTCGTGTAATAAGGGAATTCCGGGAGGTGGGATTGGGGTCGCGCGACTTGATAGGACCCGTTCCCAATGTTCGTGGAATCGTCGGTGTCTCAGACTCTCGCGATCCGTGACGTAGAAAGGGATCTCATTGTCCATACCATCGAAGAGGTGTTGGGTTCATCATAGGTTCCCGAGGGTGGGTCCCATGGGGGCGCATGTAAGCCGCGTCCTTCCGATCACACTTACACGTGGGTGCACGGAATCATGCTTCCCGTTGATGGGTCGTTTTCCGGTGTCCTTGTGGTCCCCCAAAGGTCCGTCATGCAACTATTAGATCTAAAAATAAATTTCGTGCATAATAGAAAGCAATCCCTCAGCAAGCCAGCCATCCAGGCATCAACGRAATTGAAAAGGATTCATCAKCTAGCCTATCCCTTCAAAGCAACAAAAGAAAGGACCGAATAGCTTCCCAACCTCACAAATTCTCCCCAGAGTACTGCGCAACCCTCCGGGCTTCTCGTGAGATGATAGAACATGCATTCATACATTCATGCAAAACAATACCCATACTCATTGGGCGGACAAGCTCGCAAGAATTAACACAAGCAAACCGAGGCATTCAACTCACATCTGTCAACATAGAGCAAAAATGAGAAGGGAGAATAGATCAGCACACTGAGCTGCAAAAACAAACGAAATCGGACATAAGAAAGAAGGCTTTCGCCCGAGATCAAAATTTTGTACAAGGAAAGAAAAAGAGACTCGCAATTCCACACTCGTATGTTCTTCACTCTCTCTGCCTCTTTCTCTCTGAGACTCTCACACACTCCCTCCGATGCGGGCAGTCCGTCGCCTCGCATCAATCATGAAGTTGTCACCCCGCTTGGTCCGTGTATGCAAGCCAGGTTCGSCCGTGCRCCACAGTCCRTCGTGGCCAGCAGTGCCCCACACGCCAACCCTGCATACCCAGCACCAGCTCGTCRGATCGCCCAACKCCCTCATCGACTCACCTGTCAACTTACTCGTTAGCYGACCCTCACTGATCGCGCTAACCMTGGAATCCTCCGAAGTCTTATAGAGCGGTCTAATCCYGCTTGCGAAATTTATAGCCTTCATGCTTGCGCGGTAGATGCGGGATTGTGCTTTTTGAGAAGGACGGAAAGAGAAAGGAAGTGCCTACGTTCTGCACGGCCAGGTCGCGGCGTGGGGAACGTATCCACTCTCCACGCATCGATCTGGTCATGCAACGTTTTGGCCTATCAGGATGGGGGAAGATGGATGCACAGCAGGAAAGAAGAAGGCGGGAAGGAGGCGAAAGAATCAAGAAGAGAGAGGTACAATTACAGTTGCACCAACCAAAAAAATTACAGTTACACGCAAGATTAAGGGCGCGACTCAGTCAGAGCTCTTCTCCCCCTGTGGCAAGGCGCGCGCAAGCGAGAAGCGTAGCGGAGTAGAATTTCAAGGTTCCTAAATTCCTATCTAAATCCAAATTGCAGAAGAAAAAAAAATATTCCGAAGAAACGAAAATTTCGAAAAACGAAAAGGAAAACAACAATTCCAAGAGCCCAACAGGAGCTCGACATCAGTTGAAAGAAAATTTTGACAAAGAAAACGACATTCCCGCACGTTCATCATGCCAAAATTCTCGTTCCCYTTAGCCCCAGCAGAACAAGAAAGAAGTTATGGCAACCRTTATTGATTGCGCCTRACGAGGCGCACCCACTCAACCGTCCGCCCRGGACTKTCCTGGCCGTGGTCCGACATCAYCGAAAASAAAGAAGCAAGGACATCCATGCAATTTGCMCTGTCGACCCATTTTCACATACTTCGCCCGACCGTCCCTTCTCAAGACCCCTCATCAGCCTCGCGTGAAAAGTCGCACAGTTACAGAAAATKGTTCGTCACATATGTGACGCCCAGGGGATTCCAATCTTGAGCAAACTCCTGCTTGCTCACCCATCATGCGTCGATCTGTACCTTGATGATCGACGCAGAGCTCACACGTGCCACTTACCGTGAGATAAGAGTGTGAAAGTCATCCAACGTGACATTGGCGGGCTCAATTCTAAACATTTCCGGGGAAGGACAATCGGATAACACGTGGAGGAGGTGGTGGATGGGCTTCAGGGAGGGGAGGTATAAATCGACGGATTTCCCTATCGCTTGTGGGGATCCGGGTGTAGTGGATGGTGCGGTGGATGCGAGGAAATCAGGGGTGTTCTCCTTGATGAGGGAGAAAGGCGAGATAGTCGGGGTAAAGGGTGGAGARAGTGCGAGTGATGGCAGCGCAGAAACTCTCGTAATTTTCGCAGGCRGGGATTGTGCCCGAGATGATGTCGTAGATCTCTATATTATTGAATTCCCGCCAGGTCGCGCTGAAAAGGAGGACATGGAGAGGGAAGGAGGCGACAAGGGAGCAGGAGGTGGCGTGCGGGATGACGGTGATCAGAGGCGGGTGGCCTATGGTTGGTGGAAGAGGGAGGCCGAGGAAGGGCACCATCCATTAGGGAACGGGGGTCGACCCAGGAGTTGGTGAGGGGTGAGGAAGTCACGGGGACGACGGGATAATGACCGGGGACGAAGCCCGGTCGCCTGCACCTCGACGAGGGCGAAGAGTGGCTCAGGATKGCGGAGAAGGTGGAGCAGGCGATTCGCTCCTTTGGCGGCGTCGGCTTCCTGATCCCTCTGTCGCGGCTCCATTTCCTTCGGACTCTTCGCACGGCAGCTCCGGATTCAACGATGGATCGCCTAGCAGTAGCTGTGGTGGCGGCCCTTCAGATTCCTCGATCCACCTTCCTCTTCCATCGCCTCTTCTTCTCTTGACCCGGTTTCCTCTTTGTCTTCCTTTGACCCGATGTAATCAGGATCGTCCGGATCAGTGCCCGATTCTTCCTCCTCTGCCTCCTCCTCCTCTTCTTCTTCCTCTTCTTCGTCACTGGCTCCTTGCGGGTTTCCTCCCCGGACAAAAGGGTCCCACAGTGTGAGATCGGTGACGTCGATCTCGAGATAGAGGCTCTGGGATGGGTAAAGGTAGTTATCCTCGTCCAACTCAGTACACGTGGACCACAACAGATGCGGCGCAAGCGTGCGAGTGAGCACATCTGTCCCCGGCTCCTCGTCACACCTCGACAGGATGTCGAGGGGTAAATCGTCCACCAACTGCACCAAGAACACCAGCAACTCGTCCGTGATTGGGCCGACATGGCCTTCTTCCACCTTGCCGAATAATATCCCCAACCATTCTCCCTCGATATCCATCCGCCAAGGCTGCGCAATCAACAACTCCACCTTGTTGTCTTGGATTTCACCCCCTTCAGCGTTGGGGGCCAGCTCCGCCCAGTGAAACACCACCTCCAACAAGCAGAAGCCAAGTTCCACGTAAGCGCCCCACCACTCTTCCCACTTTTCATCGTCCAAGATCGACATGCTGAGCTCCCCGATCCGGAAGGAGAGGGCGGGATCGACGACAAATTGCCAGAAGGTGGGGAGATCAGATGGAAGGCTGAAGAGAGAGAGAGATGATGACGGTTCATTGGGGCGACGCAAATGGAAGGAGCTCCGAGAGGAGGATCTCCAGTGTGCTGTTGGAGGTGCGGAGTTGGAGATCTATGTCCTTCGAAGCCACGATCCTTTCTCCCAGTCGAGCTAACAACTCGATCCACGTGACCGTGATCTCCTCGGCCCAACCCTGCAAGTGCCGATAGATGTCCATATGAATCATCGGGTGTACTGCCGTGATATCACCTATGAAGGTGACAATGACGGATACGTGGCTAATACCAGGCGAGGACAGACGCTGGAAAGCCGAAATCTCGGCCAGTACACGTGTCGCCCCTGTGTGTACAAAGCGGAACTTTGTTGCCGCGTGGATGGTCGCTGTGCTGAAGAAGGCTGTGAATCGAAGAAGRTCGGGACTCAACCGAGGTCGCTGCACCTGCCGGATCGTCGCTATACACCCCCTCRGGGTCATCAGACGCTTGCTGATCACCTGCTCCGTCGAAAAGCTCATGGCGATGGAGGCGGAGTCRAAGACAATGGTTGAGAGAGAAAGGAGGATTCAAGATCGTCGGCRTCCTCCTCAACGTCGAAGGAGGATGCAGACGAGGATGGAGGGGGGGAGGTAGGAAGAGGACGTAGGTAAGACACGTGGCGAATGATCGGACGTCGAGCCGATCGACTGCCTGACACCTCCGGCGCGAGCCGCACCATGTTAACTCCGCTTGAGCCGATCGACWACACGAAATCGCCCGAAGAATCGTGGCGCTAGCTTGCCTTGGCGAGCACATTTYCTCACCTGCACAATGTCCCCTAACTTATATTGGGGCTGAGGTCCAACATTCCCATTCCGGGCCTCGTAGCTCCGGACCTGTCTCCCATGGGCCATTTTCGTCATTCGCTGCYTTTTTTGGGCCAATCGGGGGAGGGCCTTTTCCATCAGTTCTAGGTGGCGTTGGGCCTTGTCCTTAACTGTCACCCTAGTGGTCCGTCGTGGAAGGGTCGTTTCATCGTTTAGGCTCGGTAGGGCTACACAGGGTAGGTTATTAATTCGTCGTTGAAAGGGGGTGAGACCCATGGACTCGTGCGGGGTCCCCCGGTGGATAGCAAGGATATGGTCCACGATGTCGGGTCAAGGCTTCGTGTCATTCGCCGCGATATTGCGTCGCAAGGCTGTCTTAATCACTCGATTGGCGTTTTCTACCAGTCCGTTAGATTGCGACATGTGGGGAGCGGTATTGCGGATAGAGACACCGTGTAGGACTAAATTCCCCAAGACTTCCTCTCTAAATTCTGCCCCATTGTCCGTTAGGATCTCTTCTGTGTCTTGGTGCATCCCGAAAAAACGGTTGACATATCGCGCGATTTCGAACGCCTGTCTCATTTTGCATGGATATGCCTTGATCCATTTCGAGAAATGATCCACGAATACCAACAGAATTAAATATGCACAACTATTCGGTCCAGTGGGTATGACGATATCGGTGATATCCATACTAACCCTTTGGAATGGTTGTTCGACTACAGTAGGTACTATCGACTAAGGCGGCTGCATTGGCGCCTTGTCAACGGTGCAGACCTGACAATTTCCGACAATGAACTTAACATTGTCACGAATGTTAGACCAATACCACTCATTTTTATAAATTGCCGCCTATGTAACTGGCTGAAGGCGCTGAACGCGCGTTCACGTTCAAACGCGTGCGTTCATACCCCCCGGGACCACGTTCAATCGCATTCAATCGCGTTCAAACGCGCTGCGCGCCACGTGGAGCGAAAAATTTGAACGCGACATCGGGGGGCGCGCGCGCGCTTTGCGGATTACGGGGTGGAGGGCCTCGTTCAACAAACTAAAGAAGTGCAAAAAAAAGCCCCGGGAGGCCCACCACCCCGTAGGAAGCGGCGACGCTGCTTGGGGGGGGCTGTGGGCCGATGCCCCAGACAAAAAAAAAATAAAAAAAATAAGTGTGTGAACGTGTGTGTATGTGTGTGTGTGTGTGTGAATGCTCCTTTTTTTTTCGGGGGGGGTAGAGGAACCCCCCTATCACGGCTCAGACGGCCCATGCAGGCTCTCTGAAGGGTCCTCGCATCCAAATGGCGCAGACCCCCCCACCAAAATCAAGGCAGGCAGTGAATGTGCAGCAGGGCAGGAGCTGGCCGAATATATACTCAAGATTCGGCCACCTCCTGCCCTGCTGCATATTCACGCAGTTATGGGTTGCTCACGTAGATAGACCTGCCCGTAATTCTCAGGGCTTGGCTGCACTACTCACCAAATGTGCAAAACTAGAATGAATCTTCTGCAGAACGTGGAATAATACGCCGCCATATGTTTGTCTTTTTCTTTCTCGTTTTTATTTTCTTTTGTTTTTCTTTTTTCTCGTTTTTCTTTTTTCTCGTTTTTCTTTTTTTCTCTTTTTTCTTTTCTTAGGAATACGTGCAGTGGCCCCAAAAAAAAAAC